TGAGAGAGCATAGACTTGCGTTGAGCCAATGTCTGATCGTCTTCCTCATCGTTGAGCAGATCGTCACGGTGGTTGAGTTCTTTGCGGGACTGGTACGCGGAGGGAGGCTGAGAGTACATGGAGAAGCGCTCCCTGGACTGGCGAGCTGAAGCAGGTGTATGGGGCGAATACGTAGTCTCCGAGTCTGTACGTGTGTGCATGAATGCGACCTGGTTCTTGGTAGGGCTTGGAACGTCGCTGTAGATGTAGGACGGTGTCTTCGAATCGCGGCGGTCTCCGGCAATGGTGCTCTGGTCGCTGAACCTCTTCTCTTGGTCTGACGTGAGAGGTGTAATGGCTGAGATTGAAGAGTTCTTGTGCTTGTGCTTGGTCTTTCTGCGCGAAGTCAGGTTGTCCTCAAGCGGGTTCATGTCCGGCGGCAGCTTTGAGATCTTCCTGAAGAGGATAGCCAAGTACAGATCAATGGCGGTTGAGAGAACGTGGAGGCCGCCGGTAGCAATTGCGGTGATCCATGTTGTCAACAGGACTATGTTCGTCTCATTGTCTGTAGGGAACATGGTGCGCCAACGCCCAAGTGTTCCGGCATCCATATCGGAGTTGCGACGAGCCATGAGGACGGTGAAGACGTAGAACGGGATGAAACCAGCGTCGGTGACGAGAGCGAAGAAGTGGTAGCTGGCGGAGCTTCCGGCTGGTCGCGTCTTGGGATTACGGACTAGATGGTATATCGCGTATAGACAAACGATGAGGTCCACACCGGGCTGTTTGTGTTAGCGAAGTCTTAAATGTTGACTGAGTTGTGCATACCGGTATCCTCAAAATATAGCCCTCTGTATCTTGCGCACCGCGAATGAAGATACCACACAGCATGATGCCAATTGCGCCAAGCAGAGTAAGGATCTTTAGACTGAACTGGATCCATCGCGCAATGTCGATGAAGACTTTCGTCTTCGGGCTCATTTCCTTCGCGTGTGTGTTACCATACGGAAGGATGAGGTAGCTGTCCGGGTGCTTATTGAAGTCGATGTAAGGACCTTCCTGCTTCTTCTTCGGTGGTGGAGGAGGCATGCGACTAGCCATGGTAACTGCCTTCGGATTGAACGTCGACCGGGTGGGGTCGGTGTCAATCATGGAATCCCTCGACGCTGCGTACATATGGGGCTGCCAGCGGCCTGCCATTGTTGCGATGGAGAGCGAGAAGTAACGAAGGAAGGAAGTTCTGCTGCACACGACCGTCAGAACAGAAGGTGAGAGACGTCTTCTCGCTTATTAGCAAAGAGATGCAAATGCTGGTTGATAGTTGACATGGGCCCACGCGGGGACCTGGGGTGATATGTATGTAAATATGGGGTTGTCATGACAACAATCAATATCGACCAATGTAGATCCAGAACGGCTCATGACGTGAGGAAGCACGGATGGGACGGGTTTAGGCATTGACTAGTCGCAGCCACGAGCGGCTGAAACCTGTATTAGCCAGGAACATGTGGGGGCCCAATGAGTTGCAGCAAGGAATTGTGGTCAGGTTTGCTTTGTCGGTGGTTTGGGCGGCACGTTGGGCGGAGGAGAGGCCCAACAATACCGTGACCATATCATGGTAAACACGAAGCATTGAATTGGACTTGCTTTCGCGGATCATGATTCCAGTGTAAATGTGATGGTCGCGGCGTTGCATGGGTCCAAGGATGGGTGCCATTGACCTCGGGAGCGTCCTGTTCGGTGGACCTTAGTCATCTCGAAGTTCCTCGTGCGGCGATCGCCGCTATCAGATGCAAGGACCTCTACACCATGCACCTTCTCCGGCGCCTACAGAGGACGCCCTATGTTTGCGCTAGCTGCACTCAACGCATATCAAGCGCGTCGGCTCCGATAGTACGCGACCATGGTACCTTGAAGCATGCGAGAGCGATCAGCACGATACGATATCGGACAACAAAGCCGTCTCCATACAACAGCGCATCTGCAACACCAAGACCACTTCGCAATGCCTACAGCACGACTGCAACCGCGCGCGGGCGCCTTCGCGTCGCAGTCATCGGCTCTGGACCGGCAGGCTTCTACACGGCATACCGGTTGATGAACAAGAACCAAGATGCCGTCGTGGACATGTACGAGCAACTTCCGGTGCCGTATGGGCTTGTCCGCTACGGTGTCGCGCCGGACCATCCAGAGGTCAAGAACTGCCAGGACACGTTCGAGGAGGTCGCGCAATCCCCGCGCTTCAACTATATTGGCAATGTGAGGGTTGGCCACGACATCGAATTGGCCAAGATGAAGCCCCACTACGACGCGATACTGTTCTCATACGGCGCAAGTGAAGATAGGCAATTGGGAATTCCAGGCGAAGATTTACCGGGTGTATACTCAGCAAGGTCTTTTGTAGGATGGTACAATGCGCTGCCGCAGTTTCGGAGCCTGGAACCCAATCTCCAAGCTGGCGAACAGGCAGTCGTCATAGGGCAGGGAAATGTGGCGCTGGATGTTGCGCGCATCTTGCTCAGCCCTGTTGACAGTCTACGGCATACCGACATCTCGGAGCAGGCTATTCAGACACTATCTGAGAGTCGGGTGCGGTCCGTGAGGGTCGTTGGCCGTCGTGGGCCAATACAGGTACGTCTCACTATTCGCATGCATTGATACATCGCTTACCAGAGCCAGGCTGCCTTCACTGTCAAAGAGGCTCGCGAGCTCATGAACATCCCCTCCGTCGCCTTCGAACCAATCGACCGCTCCCTCTACCCACCCGAGATCAAGAAGCTCCCCCGAGTACAAAAGCGGATAGCTGAAGTCCTTCTCAAAGGTAGCAAGGCTACTAAAGAGGAAGCGTCTCGGTCATGGGCCCTTGACTTCATGCAAGCGCCCAAGTCTATGCACGCAGACGCCGGCCACCTGTCGTCAATCGCCTTTACGATACAACAATTCGTCCCCGACGCCAGTCCCTTCGACCAACGAGCCCGCGTCGCACCTACAAACGAAGAGACATCGCTGGAGGCCTCGCTGGCTTTTAGATCCGTAGGCTACAAATCGACAGGTCTACCTGGTCTTTCCGACATCGGCGTACCCTTCGACGAGAAACTCGGCATAATACCCAACGACATGCACGGGCGTGTCATCACACCATCGGCAGGGCCTGGCAGCTTGACAGCTGGTCACGTTCATGGGTTATACTGTGCAGGCTGGGTCAAGCGCGGACCGACCGGCGTCATCGCCAGTACCATGCAAGACGCTTTTGCATCTGCAGACATTATTGCGCAGGACTGGGAGGCCGATGTGCCATTTTTGAACGATACCAGCGGCGACAATAGAAGCACGGGTCTCGGCTGGGATGGCATCAAAAATAACGTTACTAGTACAAGACCGCTGAGTTGGTCGGACTGGAAGAAGATCGATGAGGCTGAACGAGCTAGAGGCAAGAGCAAAGGGAAGGAGAGGGAGAAGTTTCAGAGTGTGGAGGAGATGCTCAAAGTTTTGGATGCATGAAGACATGTTTTAAGAATTTTTAGACACAATATATGCATGGCGTATTGATCCACTATGTGCGTCTCTCCCGCCGGACATGTAGGTGAAGTTGGCAGCCTTTTGAAGTGTGCTTGTCGTACATGTTCTTTCTTTTTATTCCTCAAAGACTTTAACATAGAACCTGTATCATCATATTCTAGTTTTGTCACGATATGTAAACAGGCGGCGCAAGTCTTGCTCTTAACATTTGGCACATCAGCACCAGTGACGCGTTTCAAACACGAGCACATTATTTGCATGGACGGTGCACACAGCCAGACGCAAATCATGAGTTCCTAGCTTATTGGTTTGAGAGAGCAGAAACTCGCACATTCGCCAGTTCCTTCAATTTTTTGGAAATTTGTGCCAGAGATTGGTGTGCAGAAGTCATCTCCAGGCATCGTTGAAAGTTTATATAGCTCGACATGCCCACTAATGAGGCCGAGAATGTACGAACTGAAAAGATGCATCGCGACGTGCTGTCGCAAGGTGCTCTTCTCATTTACCGGACCTGAGTTGTTTTGCGTTTCTTCCGCACAAGTCATGATGGATGGGGGCTCCTCTTTTGGAAACACAGCTCAGGAAAAGACATGTCTCGGTTTCACTTTATGTTTTAGTTTCTTGAGATCGCGCGGTGTGTTGAAGAGGAGAAGATGTCTGCAAGGCCGAGCCGGTTTTATACGCTCTTGCAGCAGCCGGCTGCATGGGAAAGATCTTGGTGAGTTTTTGGATACAGAATGTAGCCGCTGCTAGTCGGATACTCCAGGCCCACCAACATATAAAAGACTTCATTTGGTTTTTGGTTTCCGACATGCGTTCCGTATATTCTCTTTTGAGAGGCAGCGCCGCAAAGCATCCGTTGGTTTGATAAAAGGTTTGGAAGAGCAGAGCTCAGAAGAATCGTCATGGAAGAATACGAATCTGATTTTGGAGCAAGGTGGAGGCAGCGACCGACATCGTCTGGAATATCTTTCTTTTGAGGTGTCGAGAAAGAGTAGAACATCTCAAAGTTGTATGTTGGGAGACGACCACAACAAGTAATCGTGGAAGGAAGTTTTTCGAGCTCAGTCTCATGAGTCGGACTGGAATAATTTTTGGAAGCAGGCAGCCACGTCCCAGACATGAGCTGGTAGTCATGAGGTTTTGAGAAATCTTTCGGGAGACTTTGTGCGATGAAGAGTGAACACAAAGTATGAAAGACGGGTTTATATACTCGGCTACCGACCGACGGTGGCGTAGCGGAAACTACCGGGTCTCCGTTTGTACCACGGAGTGACCAACGACATGGGCCGCGATCATTCGCATCGACATCGAGCTTGGTCACTACGCGAATGGTCTCTCAAAGTGTGCTTCATTTGGATATATTCCTAGTTCTCTATCATACATCGTGGTATACATGTAGTTCGTCTACCCTCCGAAGTACCCTTCCCTATCGGTTCCCAAACCCCATAAAGCTATCCCTCACGGGCACATTCCCATCTATCGGCCTGCTATACCTACTGCTAACAGTCTTCTGCGTCCTCGTCGTCATATACAAACTCGCCGGCATAGGTGGAGGCCACAAATCCTGAACAGTAACGCCAGTCATTCTCGGTCCGGTAGCGGCTGCCATTGGGGGCCGGGGAGACAGCAAGGGGTCAAACACGCCTGAAGAGGGGCGGCGTTCTCCATAAGTAGTCGACCTGTTGTAGAACTCTTCATCGCCATAATTCATACTCTGAACTGGGTATGTATAGCCTCCGGTTTTGGGGTTGTAGATGCCGCGCTCCTGGTAGTTGATCCGCTCTTCGGGTGAGAGGAAGTTGTCGTCTTGTGCTTCAGCTTCGTTGATGCTTCCTTCTTTCCTGAAGTTGAATGGAGTGCCGATACCACTGTCTTCGGAGCCTTTGAGCTCTTCCGTCTTTCGTTGTGTGAGTTTGGGTTTGGTGGTGATCAATCTGGAAACCGATAGCGGATCTTTCCTATCGAAACCGAACGTAGCCATCGTGTCGCTTCGTTTGAGCCCACTAGAACCAACAGTCGTTGTTCGAGTCATGCCGGCTGCCTCTTCCTTGGCAATGTGTTGTTCCAACCAGGCCCGAATGCCGACTAATGCCGTGGCACTGATTTGTATCATCAAGACAATACTCACGAGACCAGAAACGCTCGCTGAGGTCAGCACCGCGTCGGCGACGCAAAGTGATATGGCACGCAGTGTGGCGAAACCCTGCAAGAAGGCGAATTGGCCTAGCCCCAATAGTAGCTGGGTACTGATACCACTGACGAGGTAGATGCGTTGCGGTGTCTTCGCAACCGCGATAGGGCCTTTAATTCCGGCGAATGCTGCGGGTGAGGGATGTGGAATCTCTGTACGAAGACGAACGATGGAGAATCCCACTGCTGGGAAAAGGAATATGAGACAAATGAGGCCCATGATGCCATGTGTGTCGCGGAAATGACGAGAGCTTCCCATACCGACCATGCCTAGGATTATACCAGTGATGCCTAGAATGGCGAACGTGATCAAAAAGCCCATACGCCATTTCCTGTTCTTGGCTTCATCCACTGGGAAGCCGGTCAGGACGGAGAACCGCCAGACTACACCCAAGACAAGGTATAATGGAAGGAAGGTAAGAAATGCGAGACCAGCGAACAGGACGTGTAGTCCTGTAATGACTGCAAATGGGACCAGCGCCAGGCCATTGATCTTCACACTCTGGCTTTCGATGATAATCTCGAACATGTTTCCTTCTGATAAGACTGTAATAGGTCCTCGGGGCAGTGCTTGCAATACCGTTGGGTCGAGAGTCTGACCGAGTTGGCCCATCGCTTTGCCCATCATAGTAGCGTTCGCTTTGGCCGCGGCCATAGCACCAAAAGCTGCGGACGCGATGCCGCCGATTCCCTGGCATGTGAGAGTATCGACCAATTTCTGTGCGCCTTTCTGCGCTGTGGCGGGGTCGATAGCTATAGGGAATTGGCTGGCTCCGCCTTGAGATTGACGGGCGGTAATCGGACTAGATGCTACTGCGATGTGTCAGTATATGCAAAAGCTCAGCTAGCAGCAATTCCTTACCTACACTGGAATCCTCGTGGAACTCTCCGACAATGCTTCGACGTGATGGAGGAGCCACATCAGACTTTGACATGCCCTGAGTGAGGTTTCTGACGATCTCCGCAACCAGTATCGTCGCTTTGCCTGTAAGCCCTCGCGCAAAGCCAACAGCCGAGCCGTTTAGCGTATCGTTAAACTGTGTCGGTGCCAAAACTGGCACATTGTCGTATGCCGTATCCGGAAGATCGCCACTGATCAAGTTCTTGACTCCTCCGACAGAATACATCGCGCTCACAACGCCTTCGATGGTACCTCTAGCGAGGCCTTCCGCTGCCTTCGCACCATCGATACCCTGCAATGCTTGAGGTGGGTTGTTCGCGATGAACGATTTCGCTTGTTGAATGGCGGTACCGTTAATGAGCAGGTTGGAAAAAAGGTTTTGCGTGAAACCTTCCGCAGCCAAGGCCGTTTGTTCGTTGTCGCTGTCAATATTACTAGCGATCATTGGCGGAGCATCCACTGCTTTGAAGTTCAATCCGATGGCAATCCCCATGCCTATACCCGCACCAGCTCCCGCAGCCATAGGTCGGAGCATGGCCTGGAGCTCGGTCGTGTTGGGGAAGGCCGTCATAGACCCGATGTCTAGATTTGAGAAGTTGCTGCCCTGAATGAATGACTGGCTAAGGCCTCTGGCGAAATGCTTTACGGTTCTCGGAAAGTCTATCGTGTCTGCTGTGGGATCCACAGATTGTCGCTTCTGATTCTCAGATCCTGATGGCTCTGATGCTGTCAAGCCCAAGCCGTTTCTTGCGCCTTCTCCTAGGCCCAGCCCTGCTGCTGCCGCGATCTTGGGAAGATTCTGCATGAAGCTCGAGACACCGGAACTATTTCCCAAACTCTTGATAGTGGCTCGAAGGTCAATGTTGGATACGATCGGCATTGCAACCCCAAGACCAAAATTTCCAGCTAGACCCTCAATGCTCGAATCCGACGAAGGCGCGAAACGTTGCTCTGTCAGACCGAACCCTACTGCAGTCGCGTTTCCAATGCCAGATGCCAGGGCAAAGGCCGCAGGGGCGAGAGAGAAGTTGTTGTCATCGAAGGAAGGGGTAATTTGCCTCGATAGGCCGTTTCCAAGTTGCTGAGCGACGAGGTTCGCACCACTTGCTGAAGCGTTGTAGGCGGTGGCGATGCTCGAAGCTATCGCGTTGGCTTCCTCCATGTCGGTCAGGTTGAGAGCAGTCGTTGTACCCATTCTGCTAATGGTTAGTCTGTTCGTTGTGGTGGGCACCTACGTACCCTAAACCTATACCCAGAAACAAAGCGGGTGTACCAAGGGAGCCCGTCATCAAGTCCCCTAGGCTGCCCAGTACACCGGCCAATCCACCTGTCAGATTGAACCCGCCTATACCACCAGCACCCGTCAAATCTCGGAAAGTACTACTGATGTCATCCTGCAAGTCCCTCCTCTTCAGTTCTGACCCCTCTTTCGACCGAACGTGCTTGATACCATCCGTGAGATTGGCGCCAAAGTTCTGGAGACTTTCCGAACGAAGCTTCTCACCGATATCACTGGAAGATAGTGCGATGGCTTCTGTGAGTGATAGTAGCGCACTACGCAACCTTACGTCTTGGTTGAGCGCATCGATGGTCTGTGTAGAGAAGATTGCTGTGAGGCTGTCTGGGTAATGTTCGCTAGCGAATGATCCCCGTGAGCCGAACCAAAAGGCAGCCGATGAGTAAAGCAAAAAGAAGGTCGTAAAGCATGCCAGTAGGTGCCAGACCGGCCTTTCAGAAGCAAACGCAAACATTATTATAAGGAGGTAGTGGGGTATCTCAAATACATGTGCAAGAAGAAACCAGAAGGCGAATGTGTCAATGGCGGTGGCCTGCCACAACACTCACTCAGGAACCAAGAGTAGGCGCCCGGCCAAGTGCCACAGCGATACTATATGTCGAGCAGAGTGGACATGGTGATGCTGTCCGGGGTGCCGTTCTTGAAACATCCTAGACGTAGAACTAGAAACGCTAGAAACATCAGAAACATGCCCACTTCATGTCGTACGTGCAGCATATCAAAGAGGCGCATTATGCGCTGGGGCCTGTTACTCCGTAATGCTGACACTTGCGCGAGGATCGCATTGCTGTGGATGGAGAACTGCTCGCAGTGAAGAAGTCTGACTGTAGTACAGGTCAGAGAAATATTTCTCCAAATCGAAGCCAGCTAGCCGCTCGCATGATCGCAAAACACAATTGTGGCCGAGACCATCTCTCGACGTCGCACAGGGTGCTGAAGGAGCAATAAAACAGTATTGCAGAGGGCTTTACCTCACTGCCGGGCTGTCCTAGTGGATGTGATCATCCCGCGACCGGGCCGTTCGGTAATGCGACGATCTTGAAACATGAGACATTGGCCAATGACCATGCACAACATTGAAGCTGTGTGATGAGCATTTTAGACGGCCAGTCAAGGTGCGAACAATGCCTGTAATGCTGGCGAATGGTAGTTGTCAAAGGACAAGAAGCGCGTGCCCCCGAACATTGCGGTCCAGGATACCTTCGCGAGCTCCGATGTTGAGGCTGCGTCTGTGGGTTAGCGACTGTGGAGCATGTGAAGTACCAGATTTGCATTCACGGCACGCGCGACAAATTCGCGTTCTCTGTGACACGTGCAGACAGCTCTCCTGGAGCCGCAGGTGCTTGACAGCTCCCAGGTCGTGTTACTCAGGCCGAGTAAGGTTTGAGAGGATGAGTGTCTATCGCATCCGGACCTTCAGATTGGGCGGGTGTGATATGGTTGCGATGTTTACGTTCGATTTGCGATGGTAGGGGGAAAGTTAAAAACAAGTCGACTGGACGGGTGAAGATGGAAGGAACAGACGCGTCACGCGTCGCGTGTTGAGCAGAAGCTGACTAAGCGCGCGTCGGCTGATCTGCGCCGAGACGGCGTGCGTTTCCCCACGTTCTGCTTCCTTTCCACAACACGAAACAGACAGCCACCTCTATTGTCTAGAGATGCAGTACACCTGCGATCTACCACATGCGACGACGGAGATCAAAGACTTTGCCTGCTCTATCCTGGCTTGGTGAACATAACGCAGAGACGCCATGGGATGGCGTGTATCTGGAAACTTGGGGAACAACAAGAGACGACGCACTGGGCTTGAATTTTCCTTGATATACTGTAGTGTCCACGCTCCTTAAGATGCTCAAATGACTTCCGATAATGACTGTTTGAATCTCCCAAAACCCATTGCACGATACGAGACGATCTCATATTGCCACAACATCAACATCAACATCTTACTCCAATACAGTCTACCCCGCATGATACATCCCACTCATCGCCTTACCCGACCCAAAACCATGAGCCACCTCCGAGTCATGATCTACTGAATCAGCATCATCCCAATCCTCATCCTCCTCTCCATCCCCAATAACAAACATACTCTGCAGCTTCTCTAACTGCTCCATATGATTCACAGACATCCTCTTGCTTTCTTGAGCAGCACTTTCACGCATGACAAGCGAGTCTTGACGCTCGATGAGAGTCCACGACGCTTTTTCTACAGCTTCGGCACTCCTTCCAGGATCCAAGTCCGCGGGCTTTGTACCTGCAGGCAACGCAACGGCTATTGCTACACGGTTGATGATGTCTAGTGCAGAGGGAAGAGGACGATGCTGGGGCGGTATGACTAGGTTACCGATGGTTTCGAAGTGGCTGATAAGGGAGAAGCGAGTCTCGGGTATGGAGAGACGTTGGGATTCTTCGTCTGCGGTAGTGAAAGCTGGGTTGGAATGAGGAGACTTGCGTCGAGAGAAAGTGTAAAGTCGGACCGGGTGGACGAAGATAAGAATTAGGAAGATGGTTAGCAAGACCGCGCCTGCGCAGCTAGCGACTATGGCACCGACTTGGTCGTGGGTTAATGCCATGAGTGTTGGCCGGGCTTGAGTTTGTGAAACTGATAGTTTGAAGGGTTTTTGTGGGCTGAGATGAAGCATTGAGACAGGAACTATCTTGATAAGCTGAAGCGACTGTGTGTTGAACGTCCGGACATGTAGTCGCACAGTGCTTGAATCTTGGTCACATTGCGGGCCCGGGGATATCTGATAGCAGGATGCCCGCTAGCCGGTTCGAGCAACCGACCTCCTGTACTGAGTTGCTATTGGTATATCTGTGTCTAACGTGAGAACTGGTCGACGAGCGCGTTGCAGACTCCGTTCAATCTCCTGTTGGCGTTCTTCATTGGCCTTTCTTCGACGTCGATGTCGAAAGTAGCTTATAACTCCGACGACGATGGCTAAGATAGTTGCAGAGCCTAGTATGGAAACTATAATGATGATCGTTTGGTTGGAGATGCCTTGGGGTTGCAGCTCCTCGACTGACGCTTCAGCGGATGCATCAGCCAAATCGGCTTCTTGGATATGTGAGGTGAAACTTGATGTAGCCATCTTCTGGTAAAGCAGATGACAGTGAGATTGCGATCACGGCCTTCGAGATTAGAGAAACATTCTATAAGCAACCGGAAGCATAGCCGAGTATCATCTTTGTTTGACGAAGTTGCAGGAGACAAAGCCGTCAGTGTGCTGCGCCCAGTTGTACCACCGCAGATCACATTACATACAAAGACGATGTACAAAAGATACTCATGGCGAGATATCATGATGAGAAGTGTGGCATATTGCATAGATACCTATTTAAAGTCCTACCTTGTCTTTGAATTTCTCCCACTGCGTTTGTCGAGCTTTCTTCTGCTCTTCGGCAATCCGATTCCAGTGCTCCCTGTAATTTTGAATGAACACTCTCGGCTTCCATTCTTTTCGCATCTCCTTGCAACGCTCTTCCTCAAGGAGACTTTTCTCGGCATTGTAACGCTGGAACCATCCTCGATGAGTGAGGCGGTTGTGAGGCTGAGGCGAGCTAGTGGCAGAAGAGACTGCAGACTTCCACCACGTGCGCAAAGCCTGGAGATGGTGCTGGAAAGATGTCTTGCGTGGCGGTGTGTTAGTTAACGGAAGTATCAATTTCTTGGAGCGACCGAAGAAGGTTCGTTTTAGCTTTCGTGAAAGCAGGAATGCAATGCCGAGAATCACGACAACGGTAATCGGAATAATAGTCAAGGACTTGCGCTCGATCTTCCAAACATTTCGCGTCGACATGATACGCGCTTCAGTCTCGGTAGATTGTAAACCTGAAATGAGGCTGAGATCTTGGGTGATGTACTGTCTAGAATGAAATTGCGGTGAGCGATTCCGTGATAAGGTCGAGACAAAGAGGAAGTCGTGCATGGACAAAGCGATCCAATCAGCATCTAGGGGCTAGTAAGTCTACAATGGTTGGGTGGTAGTAACCTATGTGCAAAAGCACTGATGGAGAACGAGTGGACAACATTGTTCACGATGTTTTCCCGTCATATGGCAGCGGTCTGAGGCGTGGTGTGATGGATGCAAGTAGCGGTGGCGAGCGCGTGATGGTGAGCCAACCAACGACGTCATGAAATCCTCCATATCATCAAGGCCTCTGCCGCCCGATCCCGCAACCTTCATCGCTTCTTCCACCTTTGCTTTTGATTAATCACATCAGTATCATGTCTGGTAACGCCTCGGAAACCGTGGTGGAGAAGTACCGTTACGAAATCCTCTTCGGCGCCTGGCTGGCCGTCACGGGCGCGACATTTCTCCGCATCAAGCGTCAGCCCTACTCGACCCGCCTCAAGATCGAGCAGTACGAGAGCATCTTCAAAGGCACATCGCTCAGTGCCGTGCTTATCGGAATTGGCATCACACCTGCGCGGACGACAGCAAGGCGATTCAGCGGAAATTGAGCGGAGACGCTCGCTATTGATGGTCTCCAGAGAACGGGTGGAGAGGTCGCGTCTGGTTGACCTTGGCGCTTCCCCGCAACTTTCACATGCGAACACCCGTCATCGTTCCTTCCTTCTCCACCACGGGTCGCCATCATGTTTCTTCGACTGGGCTCATCCAGCCTTGAGCTCAGCCTGTGGAACCCCGTCTATGCCGTCACGCCCTTCATCCTGCTCTCCGTCTCAATCCCGCTCGCCTTCTTCGCCGTCGTCACCACCTCAATCGCCGTATCGCTCCTCTCCTTCCGCGCATTAACCGTATATTGCCGTCTCGCCATTGCAATCATAGGCGCATGGCTATCCCCGTCGGCTTCGAAGCCGGTGCCGCTTCGGGCTCCTCTTATACCTTCGTCCGCCCGACACTCCCCGACTGGGCAGCGCCATCGCCGCACAAGCACAGCGAGCACGGCATCTTCGCAAGATGCGGCTCTCCACTCGGCGCATAAGTCACGTCTCCTGAAACATAAGAACAACTCTCTCACGGCGCTCATTGGTACAAGCGAATTGACGCGTGACTTTGAGGGCGTGGGAGGATGGAGAGTGCCGGGGGACGACGACGAAGAGGCGCTGTGGATGGGCATCAACTCACGGCTCCAATTACCTGCCGAGACGCCTACGCGGAGGCATGCGCGGAGTTTGACAGGCGGTGCAAGTCCGGGACAGAGGTGGAGTGCTGTATCAGAAGCGTTTCGCATGAGCCCGGTACAGAGCAGGGCAAGGACACCAGTACGCTCTGCCGTCGAGGACGGATCTGGCTACTTCCCTGTGCATCCCACCTCAAATAGTCGGCGTGGTAGTGCCGGCTCCGAGTCCGCCAAACAACACAGTAGAAGGAAAAGTGGCAGTGGTAGCAGCATGTCAAGTACTGCCTCCGGTCTGGCTATAACGATGAAGGAGGCTGGCAAATGAGTCATTTCCACGGAATACGCTCCTTTCTTGGACCCCACTTCCTCTCGACTCTGCAAGCAGATCAGAGATCGATTCTTCGATGCACCTAGACTACAAATCATGCCGCGCTGAATATGATAACGGCCTTAGATACCCCGAAAGCGACTAACGCATCATCTCACACGACGTACGGTTACGGAAGCGAACCACCTCTTTCGCTTAAGAGTCCGTCTTGACGTTTCCTCGATACGAAGAACCACCTTCCCACATTTTAGTTGGCGTATTATTGACTTGGAGGGTATAACGAATACACGATTACAAGCAGCCGCCTGTGGAGAAGAGAACGATCCTACGTGCTGTATACGTCGACGCGGACGATAACCAGCTAGCCGTCTGAAAAGTATCGAATACTTCCTTGCTAGTACATAGCATCCCTATCTTCAAGGTTTTTCAGCTATGCATTACTTAAACTGGCGACAATATTTCTCTTTTCATGTGCCAACTCTCTCTTGCGTCTTTATCAGGCTTCTAAATCAGCTAAAGGATTTGAAGGATGTCCTTGGCATGCACCTACCTACATGGGTTTGCAGCGATAGCAATTTACTTTTCATATACACGCAGAGCCCCACATGCGTATCGCAGTGATCGTCGAGTATGATACTGCCAGCGTTCTCAAAGGCTAAAATGAAGTCGTGCGACATTAGGGTAGGACCCGAGGAAGTGACTCCCGGGCCCCGCAGCCATCACACCGACATTGGCTGTTTACTCAACAACATGTGATCGTGGATCAGATGTGAGAGACGGCAGACAAAGACGGACAGCAAGTATCTGAAGTTTACATTTTATTAGTGTTCGCGCCGTTTAAATTCCGGACATCCCACTATTCTTATCCTCATTTCCAACACCACCTCCCACGACCACAAACATGCGGCCAACCTTCCTCCCCATCCTCCTCCTCGCCCACCATGTCTCAGCCCAACCCCCCTTCTTCAACATAACCATCCCCCCCATGCTCCGCTTCCAATGCTCGCAACTCGTCGTCGAGCGCCTCGACCCCCTCGTCTTCCCCTCCCTCATCCCCTCCCCCCACCTCCACCAAATCGTCGGCGGAAACTCCTTCACAGCCTCCATGCCGCAGTCCCACGACCTCGTCACCGCGTCCACATGCACAAGCTGCACGTTTTCTGAAGACTTCTCGAACTACTGGACCGCAGTCTTGTACTTCCGCGCTCGCAATGGCACGTATAAAAGGGTGCCGCAGTTTGTTAGTGAGGGGCTGAAAGGCGCGGCGGGGATAACGGTGTATTATACGCCGGATACAAAGAATCAGACTGGTGTTACGGCTTTCAGACCCGGGTTTCGCATGTTGGTTGGGGATGCGTTGGCGACGGAGAAAACGTCGGCTCGGAAGGTGTGTTATAGGTGTATGCCGGAGACGGGTGATAACATGCATCTCAACTGCGCGGCGCCGGATGCGCAGACACTTCCTACGGGTTTCTGTCCGGGCGGTATTCGCTCTGTTATCACTTTCCCCACGTGTTGGGATGGCGTTAACCTGGATTCTCCAGATCATCAGAGTCATGTGGCGTATGCGGACGGGGCGGGAGAAACCGATGTCGGGCCTACGGGGACGTGTCCTGAGTCACATCCTGTGGCTATTCCGCAGGTTATGTATGAGGTTATGTGGGATACGAGGGAGTTCAACGACGAGGGGTTGTGGCCAGAGGATGGAAGTCAGCCTTTTGTGCTTAGTACGGGGGACAGGTGAGTTCTCTTTATCCTCCTCGAACGTTGATCGAGTCTAACGGGTTGTCAATACAGCGACGGGTTCTCGCAGCATGGAGACTACGTGTTTGGCTGGAAGGATGATTCACTCCAGCGTGCTATGAATGCGCGTTGTATAGGTGATAAGTGTTCGGTGCTGGACTATCAGACTACTGAGGAGGCGATGAAGTGTACTATTCCGCGGACTGTTGATGAGGATGTTGATGGTTGTAAGTTATGCCGTATTATTATACAAATTCTATACTAATCACTCGATCTAGGGTTGGCTGAACTTCCTGGAGGTCTTATGAAGGTTTGAAAAAGAGCCAATGTGCGTGATTCGATGGATTAGAATAACTCGATGATTCAATTGTATGTATGCGACACGCAAGGTTTAGAGTTCTCGTAATGTAAGCTATTCATGGCATCCATCTCAGCACTAGGAAGATCATTGAACAGCATCGAAATCCTCATCTGCAATCTTCAATGCTCGTATCAGCCACTGAAGGAACCCGCCGCGAATCCTCTCCCCACCAATCAACGCTATGCTTGCATTCACCTTCGTTCCCTTACAACGCGTCACAAAGACGACGTTGTGATAGTCGAATAATGCCAAGCAATAACACTCCCGCTTCTGTCCAAATGATAACATGGCTTCCAGAAGGGGCTTCGCCGTGCGCACGATACCTTCGCCATTCGTGAACGTAAGGTCCGGCTTCCGGAGACCCCAATCGCCGGGTACGATCGTGCCGGCAGGAGCAAACTGAACTATACCAACGAGCTCCTTCGCGTTGCGTTCGCCGGTCTTGCGCACATACCAGGTGATGGCGTCGGGAACAATATCGTAGCTGTGTTTGAGGGCCGGAGAGTGATCCTTACCGGCAATGACCAGAAAGTCGATCAAAGTGAGTTGTGAGGATTTCAGGACGCCTTCCGGTGTGGCGATTGCGGAATCGTCGACAGTATGGAGTGGGCTGTCTCCCACTTTGACGAGCTTGCCATCAGGGGTTGTGTAGATTTTGAATGCACAGCCACCGTACTGGGCGCCGAACGTGAGTAGCGCGCTGCTTACCTCGCTATTGTCGATATGTTTGTCATGTAGGAAACATTGCGGCGGAGTCTCCAGAGCCGCGGCCTCCAGATTCGAGTCCTCCAGCGCGTATCCCACAAGCGGTTTCAGCATCTGTACGTTTGTGTTTCTGATCGCCTCCCCTAGCCACATAATGAGCTTGTAGCGAATTTCATCTGACCATCCCACGAATACGGTGACACCTGACTGGGGTTTATCGTTGAATACGAACAAAATCAGATGCACACCGTCGTAGAAGCCAATCCGATCACATCCGAATTTCAGACGAATGTTGGCGGCTGCCGTCCCCAGGGTGTTAGTCCGTTCTTGGTGTCTTGAAACATGGGCAATGCTGTCGCCGTCGTCGTCCTTTTTTACGATATCAAGACTTGAGTCGTTGGGCCATCGTATGACAATAGCGATAGGATCGAGTACATCATCCGCTTTGATGCACCAGGCCATTGTATAGGGTTGGCCAGCGTACAATTTCGAGAAGTGGATGCGATCGCCGTAGTACCGTTTGATGATGTCATTGGGAATATCTACGAGTTCCGTCAAGGTGGAACCAAGGTCGGGGATGCTGTTCACGTCGCGGAGATGGGGATGATACACGATATCGGTGTCGTCAGAATTGGATGGGTGTCCTTCGCGAGTTTCGTTCTGGTCGGCGTCGTTGGTTGATGTTGATGGCGTACTCGGCTTTGTCTCAGCTCCCGGGTAAGTGTCCGCACTCTGTGTTGATAGTGTATGTCCGACAAGCGTCTCTGTGGAGGAGTCCGAATCGGAAGCGAGGGTCTTAGCGAGCTCATCCACTTCAGCCCTCAGAGAGCGCAATTTGTCTGTGATGGAGCATGATGAAGCCTCGGGTGAGTTGGAGGACATGATGTCGACTGCGAAGACATAAAGTCGAAGGTGGTGAGAGAAGGCAGGGTGAGGGTCGGTTTGTTGACACCACAATGAAACTAGCGCGGGTGGAAGTGGAAAGAGCCCTTCAGGGCTGGGTTATGAACACCATGTGCTAACGTTCCTAGGCAGTTGCGACCATCTGGCCACTCGAATCCCTCCTCACCACACGTCTCATAATCTCTACAAGATCAATATCGACGTTGAGCCACCATTTTCTTTGCTCTTCTGGCGAGAGCAGTGGCACCCCTCCTTCCGTCTTTCTCTTTTCTAATTTCGGAAAGCACAGCCACAGAACCAAGAGAGCTGCGAGAACAGCCAGAATGATAGGTTGTAGGACACCAAGGCCTTCTGTTTGAGCAAGCGATCCGATAGCAAAGGGTAACGCAGCACCTCCGCCAACACCTATCGCAGCAGCAAAGCCTATCGCAGAGACATGGAGATGTGGCGGAAGAGCTTTAGTCGCTGCGACGATGACGGCTGGAAAGAGCGGACCGAGGAAGAAGCCTTGTAGTGCGACAAAGATGGCTGAGACGTGGAAGGATGGAACGAGCCAGAACATGAGTTGGCATGTGATGGCGATAACAATGTATATCTGTCGTGCAATTAGCTTATGCAGGTTCCATTCCGATCTTGACCGTACCAGGACAGCGAGCTTCTCGCCAAGCTTTGGTGTGATGAAGCTCAAGACAAGGCGGCCAGCAGCGATGCCAGTCCAGAATCCGGTCGCGACAATGCCAGACTCAAAATCACCGCCTGCTCTTTCCTGACGCATGAAGGTGACAATCCAGCCTCCAAGCGCTCCACCGGCCCCGACATACCCGAAGAGGAAGATAGCAGCAATCCAGGTGACGCGACTTCTGAGTGCCTGCTTAAGACGGCCCTCACTTTCTGCATTCGCGCGAAGTAATTGTTCGCGATAAACCTGACCTGAACTCGTTCGGAATGCCCAAATCGACGTCGCAAGCTCAATGCAGGCGCCACCGAGCTATTTAAGGTTAGCAACAACGTATTGAGTATCCTTGGTGACTGACCATGATGTAGTAGAACTGATACCATTGCCATCCACGCTTCGTAATCAGACTAGTAGCAGCGAGCGGACTGAGCAGAGCCCCCAGCCCGTATAGCCCATGCACGAATCCCAAAACCTCATTCGCATTGGCCAAACTGCCTGCCCACGCGTTCCAGGCTGCGTCTTCGATGCCATTTCCAAATCCCGAGAAGATGAACAAGATCACTAAAACAGGGTAGGGCGGATGGAGGGCAATGCCTACATAGGCTACTAGATGGCAAACAGGTCCAAGGAAAGCAACGCCCCGTTGACCAAAGTGAATGTGCAGCCAGTTGTTAAGGAGTGCAGCACTAATGTATCCGCCCATCGGAGACAGAAACACTAGCGAGACGACAACATATGTTAGATCGTAGTACTCCTCAAGGTAAGGAATGATAGCCTGGGTAACGTCAATAGTGTCCATATATACGAAAGGATTGTATTGCTTACACCGTATGCGGCATCATTTGCTCCCATAATAGTAAACGCAAAGAGAACAGCGAACGTGCGGGATACATTGGCCTTTGGATGGTTCCATCGCTCAGTTACTGATACTGTCGTTGATGGTTGGGGAAGGAATGTGGCTGGCTCGATGCCGCTGCTTTTTCGGTCATTGTGTTTACATCCTTGGTCGCGTAACGTCGCCGGTGCTACATGTCGCAATTCGATACTCGCCTGTAGCGCATTACCTGGAAGTCGATTGGCGCTTGCATCTGTCTGTGTTATGGTGTGGGTAGACGACATGGCTACGAACACCGAGCAAAACAACGAGCCACGCGGGACGATGAAGTTCGACTTCTGACGAACGGTGAACAAATATGAGAAGTTACTTATAGGTTCCGTACGTTGCCCGTGTCTTGCACTCGGAATCAGTCACCATACTGCAACACCCGGTCACGCTTGGCACTACCATACCGAAAGCGGGAATGCTTGCGAGGACCTGTGTGGGAACACATTCATATACAGAAAAACCAGATCTTTCGCAGACTCGCTAGACACATGCATTGATACGTACAACGACTTAAGTATACTGTAAATTTGGCAGTCCTGGTTCGTTGGAGAACCCAGGCCTGCGTCATTCCATGGATCAATGCTTTATCCAGGGAAAGGATAGACAGCCGGACTCTTGTACCCGTTCGTACCGACGGCCCTCACGCCGAATATGACATTGTCCTTGCTGAGAGGAAGGACAACTGATCCAACTTTGCCAACATCGAGCATGCGAGTCCACAGGCTCGCTGTAGTGGCTCGCCACACGATTTCGTAGCTGGCGATATCTGTGCTATTGGAAACAATCCACTTGATGCGCGAGTCGTTGTCCAGAACTGTTGTGTCGATGGTGACGTTGCGTGGCATGCCAGGAGCCTGTGAGAGGGACCAAAGCGTGGCGAGATTGACCTTGCCAACACGTGCTGTGAAGTCAAAGTCGACGAACTCAATTAGGTCGCCATAGACGGTGCCGTTCTCGGTGCGCAAGTCTTGATGCTGATGAGCGAAGTTCTCGTTAGGCTCCGTGTAGCGGATAGCAGGGTAACCCGCTTGAAGGAATCCAGTGTGGTCACCTCCACGCAAAAAGCGGTCCAGGCGGTAGATGATGGCTACGTTCATACCGGTGGCATTGTTGGCAGCGACTTCAGCGGAGAAGCGCGCAAGCTCTCGTGCAGGGCTATCGTTTTCGCCACCGATTTGGAGGCGTCGCGCTGCTGTGACGTTGTTTTCGGCTGAAAGAGGCGGAACACCTTGAGCGAAAGCGCGAATGGTGTAGGGGTCTTTCTGACCGCGATCTCCAGTTGAGGAACCGACAATGTCGCAGTTCAGCATGCCTTCGACATTCGTGCTAGAGTTCTTGAGTGTTTGTGCCAGATAGGTGGAGCCATATAGACCCTGCTCTTCGCCAGATACAGCACCGAGGATTATTGTTGACTTGGGCTGATGCTTGGCAAGAACACGAGCAATCTCCATCGCAACTTGTATAAGTCAGCTTTGATCTTGTAATAATCTTTCCAAGAAACACATACTAGCAACTCCACTCGCGTCGTCGTTGGCACCAGGAGAGTCGGCATCGTAGTTGAGCACGTCAGTGACCCGACTGTCAATATGTCCGGTCATGACATATACCCTGTCGGGAGTCTCGCTTCCCTTGGCAGTCGCAAGCACATTCGAGATGTACACGGGAAAGGGAATTCTGCTGGCTACTCCTTGCAAATAGCTTTGCACCTCGACCGTCATCGTGCCGTTGCTGTCCGCAGCATATTTTCGCATCTCTGAGGCTACCCAATCCCTCGCTGCATCTACTCCGCGCGTCGAGCTGTTGTATGTGGCAAGGGTATGGCGGGTTCCGAACGATACCAGTTTGGTGATCGTAGCCTCGATGTTTGCTGAACTGATTTCGTTCACGATAGCTCGCATCTCGTCGTCCGGTGCTTGCGGAATCAGCTCCACGCCAACGTTGGACGGAGGCCATGCTGCATTGGCACAGTCGGTATATGACTCCGCATTGGCAGCCACCGGTAGTGGGAGATCGCGACCGAAAAGAACCTCGTGCGCGTAGGCACTCGAGAGCAGCGCACTTCCGAATAGTGCTGATCGGAGAAACATAATGACTGCGATAAGAGATGATTATCCGACACAAAGCTCGCAAATCGGCCTCTTATATCGAAAATGGAGATGGGCCGTCGCCCAACGTGCGAGACGGCACATTATGGCATGGATCCGCACATCGGAAGTGGTCTACAACGAACTTCCCATGCCAGTTAGCACACTGGGCATACAGTGGGTGCCCATCATCATTTTCCGCGATCTCTTTTCGAGATGCACCTGTTCCGCGGCTCGGCAAGCGTAAATACCCAGCCCTGCTACTTGCCGACAGGGTAGGAGATTACCGAATCAGGCAGGTGGAGAGGGAAGAACGACGTCAACCACGAATGATTAAAAGGCTTGACAAGGCCAGATGAACGCCGATAAGGAGGAGGGTGCAGTGCAATGACTAAGGGTAGAACGGAGAATAACCACTAGGCGGAACTGACGACTGTGGCTTGCGCGGGTATACTTTCACAGCAGCCTGCATAGCTGGGTGACATGATAGTCGCGGACCGCAATTACTGATCAGAACAGAAGTCGAAGGACGTTGGATCCTCATGCCCTCTGGTTGGCCGCTTATAGAAGTCGTCGCGACGTTGTCCAGGAATCCAGGGCGGGGGTACCGTAGTCCAGGCGGTTCAGAATCTGGCCGGGATCTGCTGTCTGTATCGGACATGGATATTGGCAGCTTTTCACGAAGCTGTAAGGGCAAGCTGCAGGTTTATATGCATCGTGGTAGAGTACCCAGATGTCGAACACTGGAGAGTGAACTGGAGGGAATTCTACGATGCTGCTAGCGCTGAAAGCTGAAAGCTTGGCAACTCAGGGTCCAGCAGTCGGACTTCGCGATGATGCAATGTGTCAAGTCGCGAAAGTCTGCCTACAAGGCTACAGTATAACGTTCACCGTAACAAACCTCGCACTACATCCTAAATCTATATTGAAGTAATACTTCTGCTTCAAACCGCCGAAAAATTGACAATCCGCGATGGTACGCCTCATCTACTTGTATTGCTCAACGCAAACTCACCTCGCAAACAGAACGCGCTCTTCAACAACGCCTTACGGCAATCGACATCGATACGAAAAGACTTGGACCAGTTTGCCGACTCAGCCTCGCCATCACCACATCTTCAAGCCCAACTAAACGCGTCCCTAGCCACATTTGCGCGCACTATCGACGACTATGGCAAGCTTGCAAAGCAAGAGCCTGTACAGACCAAAGCAGAAAAGGCACACGAGAGGTTAAAGAACTTCAGGGCTGAACTCGAAGAGTACCGGACAAACTTCAAGCGCATAAAAGGTGTAAACGAGGAGATCGTACGTTTCGAACCGGCGCCTAAGACTCTCGTTTTGGCATTGCGACGCCTTTGCTGACTAGGAACAGCAAACCACAGAAGCGCGTACAGAACTGCTAGGCCGTCGCCCACACAACACAGCCACCCCCGAAAACCCCTATGCCCAACCAAATCTCTCAGCCCAACATTCGGCGTTCGCACCTTCCCAACCCTACAACCCCAACGCTCCCTACCGACCGAACCCCTATTCTGCTGGCGCACCAGCGGGTGGCGACTACGACCGCGAGGGTCATGTGCTGAGGGAAAACACCTTTTTCAACAAGACGTCAGAGCAGTTGGATGAGTTCTTAGACAGAGGACGGACGGTCCTCGGCGATCTGGGACAACAGAGGGAAATGCTCAAAGGGACACAGAGGCGGCTATATACTGTCGCGAATACCTTGGGTATTAGTGGCGACACGATACGCATGGTTGAAAGGAGAGCGAAACAAGACAAGTGGATATTTTGGGGTGGAGTCGTCGTCTTCTTCCTGTTCTGCTGGCTGGTTATTCACTACTTGAGGTGATGGCATAGGTACAGCGATCAGTGCGTGGGTATGACCCCTGTCGGACGTCCAGAGGCCATTATTTACATTAGCGAGGCGTATGGAGCATTGTGTACATTCACTGGAGAGTGCGTGTGAGGTTTTTCGCAACAAGAGGATATAGCAGTAAGTCTGTAAGGAGTCTCATGCTACCTTGGGGTCAACTAACTGTTCCAGATACAAATCAGTAGATCTAACGCGACCTGAAAATAGAACAACGATCAATCATGTCGGCCAAAATACTGAACCACTCGTCAAAGTCCGTCTTCCTTGCCAACTACGATTCACCAGCGGCCCATGTTTTTCCAAAATACCAAGCAAGTCGCTACGCTACGCATAAGAGCTGCCAGATGTACGAGATAGGAAACTCTCTTGAAAGAACACACGGCTCATCACAGTCTGCGGCCGTAGGTCAACGAGCTGCGACATACAGCAACGATTCTATCCAAGCTTCACGACATGTCGTCGAGCTGTTGGCCAATATGATTGAGCTTCGAAAATATCCTTTCCTGCTGATACTGCAGCCTTCCGACATCATTAAAATGACCATTCCGCTGGATCCATGGGTATGCAATACGAGGATAGTGATGACGATGTCGATGCCGTTGAGGACGGCCAACAGATAGCCATCTATCTCTTGGGTCTTCGAGCATCAGTGGTATCCTCCCACCTTGATGACCGAGAAATGGAAAGTGTTGCCGTTTCATCATCAACGCAGCGCATGGGTCGTAGTATGCTGGTTGCCGCTGCATCTCGTATGGTCGGCCGACAGTACTCGAGAAGCAGCGTAGTAGCTGCTCCAGGACTCGATCGGATATCAAACCCTTCAGTGCACTAAGGCCCATGTACCACTCCCTTCGTAATCCAGGCTTTTCGTTGTACACGACTTCGTTCAGGTAACCTTGCAGGAAGTTTAACATAGACCCCGCCAATGCCTCCGATCGAGTGGCCTGAGCGACCAAGCAAAAGATAAGGAAGCGATGTCTGCTGCGACGAAGATCTGAGGTATTTGCGTCCTTCAAATCTTTCCCAAGACATTCCTGCATATTTTGTTGCAAACATGTTCCAGTCGAAGCGGCGAACGCGATCCTCGACGTAAAGTATCCGATGAACTCCTCTAGAGTCGTAACGATCGTGTCAGAGGTAATGACAGAGAACAGACGCTTGGAGAAAACCTCAACCAGTTGCAAGATTAGGCCACGGCCATCGAATGCTCCAGCAAGCGACAGGTTTCGAGCGATACCTGGAAGCCACTTTTGCAATCCGCTCAGACTCGGGTAGAGAACTACATCGGCAGCGAGTCTGACCGTGACAGTATTCCACATGGATCGACGATTTTCCTTCGGAAAGAACGCAATGTCGCGCAGAAGATTTCGATTTCGATTATGTGTTGGGAGGAAAGGATGGTAGTACAGAAGGCCGAAGAAATTTCGCTCAACCGGCCGCTGGCATCACTATATGCTCAAGACCGTTGAGCACTAGGTCTACCACCAGCGCTTCCGATCGATTGACAGACAGACGCATAAGTTGAAGTGTCACACAAGTTTGCTCCGACAACGCGCGTAGCCGCCTCGTACAATCTAGCCAATTACTGCTCACGCTATGGTTTGGTTTAGCTCAGTACCATCGCCTCAAGACAGTACGGATCGACCTTGGCCTTTTTGTGCACCCTTTTACGAAAACCAGGTTCCATCAAAGATATGGGAAGCGACATCAAACGCATGGTACATCATTTGATACGCATTCGGGATACGCGATCCATTTTCTCCTTGGAATCTCTGGCAGACAGACCGCTGTGAGAATGACAGGATATGCCTGAGATACCAGACAAGGCTTCCATCTCGCTATCTAAAAGCTACGTAATTTGGGAAACAGGCCGTAAATGCAACGCCTCGCTAGAACACCCCACGACACATTCATTTCTCGAAACATGACAGGTTCAGAGCCTACCCGCTAAACAGTATTTCCATAATCCATCTCGGTTTCGCGACACTCGTTGGACGAGTCCGGCTCTCGCGTATGGTACAGATCGGATCGTCAATGTCGGCAGTCGAACGTTCGCCTTTTCGTCAATCCAATGATCCCTCATACAAAGTATCACCGAACGGCAGATCAATGCGACCTCTAGTCGAGACCAGAGAAGCGTTGCTCTTGCTCAATAGTAACCATAACCAAACTCATTAAGCAGAACATCCAGTTTCCCGTCAACACTGTCCAACTTCATGCCCATATCGCTTTGCTGCCACTGGAGGTTCTGGAGCTCGTCGAAGTAATCGCCTCTCGGATATCCGACGGGTGACATTATTGGCGATGCCCAACTAGAGCTGGGGTATGTTGGGATGGTGAGGCTCATATCCGGGCTGTGGCGACGTCGTATGGCAGGCAACGACCGTGCTCTGTGACCTGGCCACGGCAAGGCTCGGGGAGAGCGACCACGGCGATAGCCAGCGTATGGTATCATGGCGAAGGGCTCGAGATCCATCGTCGCAGGCTCTTCCATCATCTCCTGAATTTTCCTCACGGCTTTCCACCAGTCCCCTTGGTGTTTCCTCGACTCCGTTAGCGTCATTTGTGCTGCTTGAAGCCAGAATCGCAGGAGTGTCTCAGCCAGGAGTAGAGATTCCTGGTCCACCGCTAGATACACCAGGATGACGAACATATGCCGTGTTCCTCGAAGACCTCTTGCATAGGTGGTTCTCGCATCAGCCGTAAACTGGTTGCACAGGACGTGAATGATGCCGATCTGCGGTTGATGCTCATCATAGCCTCGATATTTTCCAAGTCCCCTGAAGAGCTGGTATAGTGTGTCTTGGATTTCGCCGTTCCTTATGCCATAACGATCTCGGATGCTGTCTTCGAGATTGCTCACGAGTTCATATCCACTGACCATGGGCATGCGCAACAGTCGAGGAAACCAAGCGTAGGCAGTGATATCGTCCACTTGAACACTACGATGCCCACCGAAGGTGATCCTCATGGTTTTAGATGCGGACTCCTGGATTTTGTTGATTGAGTGACAGGTAGATGGTGTTAAGGGTTCGACGAAGGGGCTTTAGTTGTTGGCTGACGAAGAGGTCGTTTCCGCTAATTACAGTACCTGACACAGAAGCCAGTCTCTATATACGCATCAAGTACCGGTGAGAGCGTCAGTGCCTCGCATGCCGGGTGACCGATGTTCACCCCTCGCGCCAAGATTGATGTGCCACAGAGATGTTTGCTTGCGATGGCGACGAAAGCAACCACTCAGGCAGCACCAGCCCCTTTCCTTTCGGTCTAGTGTGACGGCAACAGAGACACGTCAGTCGTTTGGTACCGGAGGTTTGTTCCAGTCCATGGAAATCCAATCGAGTTCGCGGTGCGCCCTGCTTCTATCATCCACCCAGCGGTGTGCTTCGTGCTACGCCCCGATACGACACCGTATATTACTGCAATGGACCGACAGTCAGCCTGTCGGCTTCATCGGGCTCTCTCTGTGATCGTTCCATCGAAGCTAGGTCTGTTCAAAGGGACGCCGTTCATGTTGATCGATTTGATCTGATCGGCTAGGATGAGTGCAGGATCTCAACAAAAGCTTAGTTCACATGCGGAAACTGAGAGATACGCAGACAACGGCGCGTGAGAGCTTTTTCAACAGCCTCAGCCACTACTCTATGCCCAAACGAGTTACCCGAATGCCACGCTGGCGTTGGGTCAAGGCGGTGTCAAGGCGGTATTCAAGGCTGAGAGCCATAGCGGTCAGCGTGGGCTGAGCTGCATGTGAAGGAACGCCTACATCGGAGCAAACTATGATACGATAATGGGCAGACACTCTTGCGGATTATCTGTGTCAAACGTGAGGCCAAAATACCACTGGTCAACGGTTGCTGTACCCATACGATCAATACGGGGCTGCCACTACTACCGGATTCCCGGGTGGTATGAGGGAAAAGTAAAAAGGTACTGGCGATTATCGGAGCATTCTGCACTGAGGGAGTCATGCGCTACTCTTTGTGAGACACAGAACATACTGGGAATGCGATCAACTGATCTCACTGAGACTCTCCGTCAGACTTTAGCTTTGTGCTCCCAACCACGTTTTGTCTGGTCAAGTATCAGATCCTTCGTTTGTGTAGCGGATCCCGCCGTGCCAGTCTGACCGTCAAAACCACATCTGCAACTAATGTTCCGGACATCACAGCTCCGCTACACAAACTAGGCAAGGTACATATGCCTAATACTCGGAAGGGGAGCCTGTGGTCATTCCCAATTTTGCCCGTCAGCCGATGAGCATCATATACTACACACACAGCTTGCTGCGACTACTTGCCTAGTTTGATCACAACAGCCTCACCGTTGTTTCAGATTCATCATCTCCACGTGTGCCCAAGTACGGCGACTCCGTGCGGGGAAGTTCCAACACTTCGTTAAACGCTCAATACACTTAGGATGGCAAATTCGGCCGGGATGAAGCAGCAAGCATGCAACCAACTTGGAACGAACAACAGTCAGTTTTCAGGAAGTGACTGTGAACATGTACCACAATCACATGTCAACCACTACGTTCATGCTCGTGCCACATGACTGCGGGTGGAATGCTCATCATCCGCCCCACGATAAACGATCGCAACGACTTTAGTGAAGAAATCATCTCAACAACCATACAGTTGGAAGACTAGCCCAAGACCAGCAGCTACGTCGATACTGAAAGTCACCGATAGGTGCCACGTACGACCCAACACTATGAACAGAGCTGAAGCATCGAACTTGAATGATCATGCATGATCGAACACCCATCGGCGGGTCAAGAGATCCCTAACCCATAGCGCTATTATACCAAAGAACTGGGAGCCAGCATGCAGCGGCTAAGGCGATCACACGACTGCACAAGTACATCTCAGGGCCATCAATGAAGGAGGAAGTGATTGAACGCAAGAGCGATGTACCTATTCTTGTACAAATCCAATGATGGGAATCATATATACAAACAAACACCACGACGCCGT